TATAATAGTGTCCGGCCAGGACAGGCCATAACAAATCTAAGCTTGTCAGGTAATTTTTTACGTGATTACCCTAGTAATTCTTGAAATGCCAAATACAACAAACTTTATTACTTGGATGCCTTATTCTCACGATAACTTTAACGTGTTTTGCCTCAGTTACTAGTCCGAAGAAGAGTAAGGATGTTAATTTTGTTGTTTTAATGAATCCGCCATAAATAATTCCTGACAAAAGGCGTACAACGTACTTGATTACCTGTTTGTGCTGTACTTGTTTCGCCTGTCAAATAAGCTCCAGTTAGTAGCTACTTGGAAGTCCTTCTGAGTCTACCATCACGACATCTTTATCCAGAGAGAGGACAGTGCCACAATTCTTAGGCTAATGCAGGAACAGGCTCCAATAGCCTACTCACATAACAAGAAGCAACTAAATCTTCGAAGTGAGCTTCCAGTTAGACAGAACTTTGGGGATGCCTACTGATGCTATGACCCCTAAATTCAGCTTTCAGAAAAAAGTTCTAATCAAAATACCTTGTACAGCAGACTGGGAGAAAGAGATCCCAGTTATGGTCAGGAGCTGACATTTACGGAAATAAACCAAGTACTAGAATTCATATAAGCCTTGGACAATATGCCACCGTTTTCCGAGCGGAAACTGTGGCTATTGAACACTGTGCCAGAGAGATAAAAAGGCTAAAAGAATAGCCATCTACTCGGAGAGCCAGGCGGCACTGAAGACAATTGCCGCATCCACGGTAAAGTCCAGATTCGTTTGGGACTGCATTACAGCCCTATCAGACATTGGAGAAAATAAGAAAATTACCCTGGTCTGGGTGCCAGGGCACACAGGGCAGAGGGACAACGAAGAGGCAGATAAATTGGCCAAGGCAAGTTCAATGAGGACACCACCTATTGGCCTTGAACCCTTTTGTGGTTTACCAAACTGCCAAAAGCGCGGATCAATTAAACGGTATTAATAATGAGTCCTCCACTCAATTGGAATGTAGCCCAGGAAAGAGCGATGCGAAAAAAAAAAATTATCAAAGGACCATCTCAGAAACTAACAGCAGAACGACTAAATCTAGGACGTGCTAGTACTAGAATAATAGTTGGACTGCTAAATGGACACTGCAGACTCCGTTGGCATATGTATAGACTAGAAATGGAGAAACAAGCCTGTGCAGATATTGACAAGAAGAAGAAGAAGAAACAGCGGAACGCGTCCAGTGTTAGTACGAAGGCCTATGTAGGCTGAGAATCCTGGGAGAGGAAAAGCCAGGCCCTGAAGGGTACAAACAGTTATTACCTGTTTGACCAATCTTCACGCAGGAAGGGGCCACCCAGACAATCTATTCCTTAATGGTGTTACCCCTTTGGTGACCACCTGTGGTTAACCAGTTATACACTAGATGTCGCCACTGCTTCAACAATGGTACATGCGATGCAGCCAATGACATTGCAATAGCACTGTTTATAAGAAAGAGCTCAACGTGCTTAATTCTGACTCATCGACGAGATCTCAACCGACTATCACTAATGGAGCAAGCCGTCAGCATTACCGACAGCTACAAGGGTAATCGCATCATCATCTCTCGTAATCTCAACAGCCGACGTGGTTGCCTATTGCACGAGACTCTTCGCTCATTGCCGACTATCGACACAACCTGCTCATCGACTTCGGTCCACGGACTTTGACGAACGGTTCCACTAGAAGGGCTCACCCTAATCCCAGTCACTAAACAACGTGAAACGTCTTCAAAAGTTGTAGATAATTCTGAGAAGAAATGTTTCTGCAGCATCTTTCCTCGTCCTTGTTCGTTAGCGTGAAGCACATCTTCACTTGAAGCATCAGATACACTTATCCTCTAAACATTTCCGAACTTTTCGAAGCTTATTCAGTCATACGGATTCTTCAATCTCTTCGTTAGTAGCTTTAAATCCTTTTATCCAGACTTCTTTGCATGTCAACGTTTTTCAACACATCCTATGAAAAATATTTAATTTTTTTAAAAATCAGTTGCAATTTCGGTGAGAGTTGAGTAAAAGCATCGGTAACTTCCTAGTTTCCAGACGGATTCTCCTACTGCAATAAACATAAAACATCCCAACCATTTGAGACGCGTGTAACAATTTCAATTTCTTCACTTTCTTCTTTCCAGTAAAAGCTTCTTTCTTAACCATCTTGGGAGGGTTTGTAGCCGATAACCTGAAAATGTTTCCGGTCGGTTTTAACTTTGATGTGACAAAGTCACAAGACAATTGCTGTTCAGATGGATATTTCTCATGTTCCAGAACTGTCGCTGTACAAAAGTCTTCTTAATCGTCGTTTCCCATCACGTTGTCATTTAGGTGTACTTGTTTCGAATCGGTTTCAACCTGTCCGGCTGGAGGTTATGTGAAATCGAAACAAAAGAATGATTAGACTGGGGGGGAAATAAAATATGCATCAGGCCGGAGAAAGATACACCACTCGAAGAAAACCAGGTGGTGGTCTGACTTTTTTGGTTTTGCGGCCTTTGTTCAGAACAATTTTTATAAAAATTCTACAAAATCGACAGGGCACATATTTAAACTACGTCTGCTTCACTGTTGACGTGTCTTTTGGTCTGTTCTATGTCGAAGACAGAAGAAAAAGTCCGTGTAGAATTCTCGTCACTTCAAATTATTAGACAGATGGACCAACCATTGCTAAATAGTAGGTCGAAAGAGTTTAAAAAAAAGCCGGTGGAGAAACAGGCTTGAAAATAAATATATTAAGTGGATTGTCCCCACCACATGGCGGCATAAGAAATTTTGGGACAGTTTGTGCGGCATCATGCAAACAGAAATAAATGGAATAGAAAGAATTTTGGGTCCACCTACTGAAATGGTTCAATACATTCGTGAGGTCCGAAAGTGGTGAAAAGACATTAGTCCTGCATATGAGAGTCAAGAAAAGGACGCGTATACAGGGACAACGGCCGCCACCTTGTACAGCAGTTTATTGACCGTTAAAAGAGAAGTCCATTATCACTCCACGATATTTGACCGACAGAACCATGACACAGTTACCCATTGAATTTGGATTTTCTTCTACAGCAACAGTCTATGCATGCTTGCCAAATCATTGCCTCCTTTTTATTATGATTAGTTTTAATTAGTCTCAGAAACTTACTATGCATCGCTTGCTAAACCTGTTCGATATTTTATCTATCTTCCAAGAGGAAAAGTAAAGCGCGATTTTTACATTGTTTGAGCGAGTTATTTTGTTAAAATACATGAGAAACAAGATGAGTCCCAGGATAGAGTCTTGATGAACACCAGGAGCAGTGTCGCTCTGTTTGGAAAGGGATGGTTGAAAAGAAACTCGGAATTGTCTGAATTGTCCAGTGCGAGAGGTGATGCTACGAGTACCCTTGTTGCCGTAGCTAACGCTACTTGTTTCAACGAGTCAGGTTGAGCTTCTGCTTATATATAGAGCTGCTGCGCTCATCAGCTGCAGCGTAGAGGGAACCATTGTTGAAGCAGTGTCGACACCTAGTGTGTAACTGGCTAAGAACATGTCGTCACCGTCACCCCTAATTTACATCCAAACTTTCATTCATGGTGTTAGCGACGACGTACATATCTCATGTCACTGTCATCAATGTAGCCGATTCTGGCCGTCGGTAGAAGGCAGGTTAGAAGGTCAGACGAATTTCGAACTCTGAGGAGGGGACATTACACAGTCGACAGTAGACACTTTTGTTCAAACCGGCGACTATTATATCTGCCGCTCTATTTCAAACTGGAATATGGATTTAAAGCTTGCGTATTATGACGGCTTGCTCCATTGAGATTTCATCGACGAGTCTGAATTAAGCAGGTTGAGCTCTTGCTTATATACATACAGAGCTGCTGCAAGCTCATCGACTGCAGCGTAGAAGACACGATTGTTGAAGCAGTGTCGACACCTGGTGTGTAACTGGCTAACAATATGTCGTCACCATAACCTCTGATTTACATCCAAACTTTCTAGTTTCTTTCATAGTGTTAGCGACGAGATACATGTTACTCGTCGGTAGAAGCAGGTCAGAAGGTCAGATGACCCACGAACTGTGAGGAGTGGATAGTACATAGGCGACAGTAGACTCTTGAGTTAAAGCCGGCACATTGATTCATTGATTGCCGGTTGAGATCACGTCGACGATCTAAATTGGGCAGATTGAGCTCCTGCTTATGTACATATCGAGCTGCTGCAAGTGTGTAACTGATTAACCTCAGGTCATCACCATAACCCCTGTTCTTCGTCCATACGACTTCGTCCACTTTCATAGCGTTAGCGACGACGTAAGTGCATAATACATATGTCACGTAACTGCCATCAATGGAGCTCTTTCATTACGTCAATAGAAGGCAGGTCAGATAGCTTAAAACCTCCGAACCCGAGTATATCTGCCTCTTTATTTCAAACTGAAATAAGCGGACTTAAAACCTCACGTGTTGTTTATTTCTTATTTGGTAGGTGGAGCCCATGCTTATAAGCGGAAGTGCTATAAGCTCATTGGCATTGAAGGGGAAGCCATTCTTGAAGCACTTATCAACTACAGGCAGGCACCTCAAGTAGCTATCATAATAGCTTTATGGGTGAACAAAGAGCAATAAGAACGGTTTTATAAGTAATTTATAGATTCTTTTTTATATTATAGGCGGTAGTCGAAGACACCTGCATCCTAACTGGGTGTAAAAGGGTTCTATTCTTTTATAAGTCTAGCTTTTTGTTTTGAAGATTTTGTTTATTGCGTCTTTGATGATGGATGATGATCATTTGATAAGATCTCGGTTAATGAAGAGTTAAAATGGTTTTTGTATCGGACAGAGGCGGGGGCGTTTCTATTTTTTGATACGGTAAACGAAAAAACGTAGGCCTGGGCGCGGGCCGATCCGGTGTCGCACGGCCGACATTTATTTCCAGTTGTGGGACAAGGTCACCGGCAAAGGTTGGACGGGGCGGTGAAGGACGTCGGTTCCAAGCCACGAGCCCGGCCGAAACTTTTACTTCGGTCCCAGATCCCGTGGTGAAAAGATCGCCAGACCGCCGGGGGAAAAAAGCGAAGAGTTTGTGCTTATCATCCGTCGGAAATCAAATTTGTGGTTTGTGGTTTGTGGATTGTGGACGGAACGAGCTGCCACTCGCCGGGCGATGATGCTGATCGAGGGCGAAGGAGGTGGAAACTGCGGGCGCGGCGTGCTGATCGTCGAGGGTGGAGGTGGAAGCGGTAGCAGTGGTGGGGGCGGCAGTCGTGTAGATCTTTACAATAGGCGAGCCGCCCGTTTCAAGATGGCAGCCGACTCGGCCGTCGAGACGTGTCCGACCCAGGAAAACGCCGACTCCCGGAAGCGGCCGCTCGACACCGACGCCGAAGACGTCAATTGCAAAAAGTCAAACTGTTCCGCAGGTGAGTGGCCCCGAGCGAGGCGGCCCCCGCCTCCGCCGCCCCTCGGATTCTCACTTCTCTCACAACTGCAAAAGGTTATATTTTGATAAGGGACGATATTTCCCCGCCCGTCGGAACTTACTTCGAAAAAAAAAACCCTCTCGCCCTCTATTTATTTTTTTACATTTTCAACCATTTTGGACGCGTACCGTGTCGATTCGATCCGTCAGACGCGACTGTCATTTGTCGATAATCGCCCGAGGGCCCGTTCGTCCTCGCTGTTTTATCCCTCCGAGAATCGTTCCCTGGCACGGACGCATCCGTTGGTACACTAAAATGGTCCGCTGATAATACCGACTCCCTGGGATCTATGTACACCACCTGACCTGTAATCTTCACTTTTCTTACAGGAATTTCTCTCTCCCGATTGAGCCGGGGGATAAAAAAAATCCGCGTTTTCCTCTCGAATCTTCCCGATCCAAATCGATAACCCCGACCGCCGATTAAATCTTGTTATTGACCTTGATTGGATTGATTAACGCGTCGTTTCTCTTCTGGCTTGTCCCAAATCGTCCTTATGACGTTTCTGTCACCTTGGACGTTCGAGACCGGTTGTGTGCGGTCCGACGTCCTCACGCCCTTGATTGTCAATTCTGTTGTGATTGGCATAAATGCACGATTGATTCTTTGAAGAGCTCCACCCTGGTGACCTCTGACCTGGTCCTTTCGACCGCTTGACACACCGTCCGGATGGACAGTCATTGGCATGACAATGGCACCTCCTAACTTCATTGTCATATGCATTTGTCACAATTTGAACTGTTTCCATTCAAATCCTCTCAAACGACAACTATCTGACTTCCATACCAATTATCTTGAAATTTCTCACTTACTTTTTAAAACGGTATTGACAATTAGCTCATGTATGTGTTGTACATGTAGAAAAAGGTTGCTCGATTAAAGAGCGACATTGCTTGGCTCCGTATAGAGAGTGCAGCTAGTATTTGCGTACCATGTTCTAATTTTTAGAAGAAGCAGGGTTGTTTTATTATGTATAGTCCTGATAGTTTTAGGTTATTAGTGTGTGTGTTGAGAGTGAATGTATTTTTATGTTTTATGTAAACAGGTGAGCCAATGGTCAAATATTGACTACCCCATTGACCCTTAATTGAGTCAGTTATATAATAGGTGTGAAAGGTATATCGAGTACTCCGCACCCTGAGTGAATGGTATATAAATAAGACAGAATTTATTTAAGAGCGAGTGAAAATGTAAATTGGTTTGGCTTTGCTGAATGATTGCATTGGGGGCTGAAATTACCTGTTGATAGCTCCTGGAAATATAGTCCTTTAAAGATATCTCATCTTGTGTTGTTTAATGTATATTGAGCATGTATGTAAAGTGTGACAGGTCTGAAGGTGGAATATTGAGAACCCCATCGACCAACAATTAGTACTAAACACTAAACCACTGTGATTCGGCCCTCTGACTGTAAAAATGCAATTAAAAGCATGATTAAAAGAAGATGGCAGCATCGGTGCTGGATCGACAGAAAAGCTCTCACATATCAAGAGCACTGTTCATAGATGGATCTAACTTAATTAAGAATAAGCCATGTGAGGTTGACGCACTGACACTTTCCTTTTGGCCGAAGCCCATGTATGTGTCCGGCATGTAGAGAAAGGTTGCTCAGTTAAACCTAGTTGAAGTGTGCAATTCCTTGCCTCCATGTAGGGAGCGTGTAGCAGTGCCACCCAATATGAGAATCGTGCTTGAGCCAGCAGCGAGGGTCCCCTTTTCCGAATTTTAGAGGAAACAGGGTTTTCTATTGTCCATAATACAAATAGTTTTTGTCACTAGGGTATGTTAACAGTGAATATGGGCGTGAACGTGTAGTATGAGAAGGCTGATGATGGAGTACCCCAACAATCATCAATTAGATAAGTTATATAATAGGTGTAAAGGGTGACGAAGGAATATTGAGTACTTCATCAACTTAACTGAGTGAATGGCTTGTAAATAGGAAAGAATTTATTTAAATGTGAGAGTGTATGTGGGTCTGGATTTGGAGACTGACTGAAATGACCTAGCCGAACCACTGACTCCAGACTGCCATCACCCAGAGTGAGTGATTTTCAAGGTCTGCTGGTAATTTATTGTAAATTACAAAAACTGGAATTGCCGGTGGACTGTGAGAAATGATAGGCTCGACTCTAAACGTGTGTATGTAGTACCAGTAATCAGTACTCTTTTTCAACAAAACGTGTCAGTTGAAAGTATACAGCATATTGAAATGCATCATAAACTAAAATATTTATTCTTTCTCATTTCCTTCGTCTTTTTTCATGAGTCAAAATGAAACAAAAAAATTGTTTTTTCAATCAGTCAGACTTGAATTGCCAGCCAGCCAGCGGCGAATGTGTCCAGACGTAGTGAAAGGTTGCTCAGTGTGTCTCACTTTGTTGCAAAAGTGTAATTCCTTGTGCCTATATAACGAAGCATATGATTGCCTGTTTTGATTGTTACATGCAACAGTTTTATTGTAGCTCTGAAAAAAATGTATGAAAGAATGTGTTTAAGAAAGATAGAAAGTGCCTAGGTTTAAAAAAAAACTGCATGCATTGGGGGGCTGAAATGATCTAGCTGTTGACAGCCCCTGGAGTTTGATAAGACCGAGGTCTCACTCCATACTTCCAAAACCCGAAATCAGCATCTCGCTGCCCACTGGTAATTATGAAGTACCTTCTCTTAGGGGAGTAATATTAACAAATAATTAATTTTATTATTAATTTAATCTTCTTAAGCGGGAAGTTTAAAAAAAATCAAATACTATCAGTTTTTAAAATTTTCTAAAAATTCAGTGTCAAGTGCAGTAAAATGATACATTTATACTCTTCATTGTAAAACCTATTAACTTTTTTCTATTGTATTATAATTATTTTAAAGTACATCACTGGCAGAATCATCTAGTAAATTGCTAGTTATGATTTCTGCGACTAGCAACATCGAGATTTATGTTGCTAAGGAGCTCTGGACAGGAGTAACAGCCATTTATCACCTTCCATAAGAAACACATTCATAACTAGAGCACAATACTATACGGTGAACATATGGCACAGGTTAATTATTCAGATATCGTGAGAGTATTTCTACTGGCACAATTACACAGAAGACAAACACTTTGAGTGAGTAGAAATACTTTGATTGAATATAAAATATATTTTGCATTGTATAAATTCACTTTTCCACATCCTAAATGTATTTGTTAAATGTAAACAATGTTTGTAAATCCCTGGCCCTGAAGATGATCGAATAAAGATCGAAACGTTGGCACGTTAAAGAAAATGTCTTTCTGAAACCTACATCACACCAGACCGCATCTCACGATATCTGAATAATTATCGATTAACGGTCACTAATCTCTACACATATGGCACAGGCTAACTGTTTGTTGGATCCCGATTAAGACCTATCTTGTGAATTAGGTGTTTAATAAATTAACTCTGAACACCTTCAACTAGGTTTTTTGGCAAGTCCCATACCAAAACAATCTGTAATACTCAAGAACAAGTCAAAGCTATAACTTTGGTGATAATTGGTCCCCGGTATAACAGGGAATGAAGAACAGATATAACATGAATGTAGTTGATTTAAAAAGAATGATTGCGAATGTAATAAAATTGAATGGGGCATCCGATGAATTAAAATAGAAACATCTAAATTATTCGGATTTAAAAGACTTTGGTCCATGTTCTGTGGATGCCTGGGTCTGGAGAGGAAAAAGATCAGGTTCTGCTTAAGTCATACCTAGATGCGAGAACCTTCTAATGGGCTTATGAGACTATGCAGGTGCCCATTGTATCTCAGTAGAGCACATAATAACAGAATGTAAAGAAAGACAGCCCATATGCTCCAGGGATACCAAACCAGCAGCAGTACTGAAGAATACTCTGAATTAAAAATTATTATTGAAGTATACATTTCCTGAAGTTTTTTCTTTTTTGAGAAAACAAGTATTCAACAACAAGGTATTCTTTTGAGAAAACCCAGCTTTTAATTATTTTGACTACACTGATTTATATAAGTTCAAATCTGCACACATATCTACAGAGCTGAGCCTATCAGTTCTAGCATTCCACCAGAAATAAATTACCAAAAGGACTTGATAATCACCCACCCCGGGTGTTGGCAGTATGGGGTCAGACTTCAATCTTAAATGTCCAACCAGGCTCTATTGACTGCAGTAGGTCATTTCAGCCCCAATGCAGACAATTCCTAAAACCAACCCTACTCACTCTTAAATGCATTCTTTCCTGTTTACATACCATTCACTCAACTAAGGTAATGACGGACTCAATATGCCTTCTTCACCCTTTATACCTATTGCATAACTAACCTAATATGGGATACTCCACCATCAGCTTTCTCACACTACACATTCATAAATACCTTCACTCTCAACACACACTAGGGACTTGAAACTATTTCTATTATATACAACAGAAAACCCTGTTTCTTTCAAAAATTGGAAAACCCTCACTGCTGTGCTCAAGCAAAATTCTCATCTTGGGTGAAAGTCCTACACACTCCCTATATGGAGCCAAGGAATGGCACCCTTCAACCTTTTTCAGCCGGGCATATGCGGGCTTTGGCCCAAAAGTGCCAATATGTCAACCTCACATGGCCTATGCTTAATAGAGATAATGACACTTCTTCTATGAGTAAGATCCTCCGAGGGCCACCTATTGATATGCTCTGTGAGAGCTTTTCTTCCGATCTAGCCCATCAATGCTGCCACTTTCTTTTAATCATGTTTTTTATTGCATTTTTAGTGTCAGAGGGCCGGATCCTGTGGTTTGGTCCAGGGGTTGGAATTTTTTGGCCTTAACCACCTCGTCTGCTTTTCGTTACCCTCTAGACCTAACTGTTGGCTAAACTTAGGTAATAATGAGGAGTAAATGAATCTGCAGAATCAAAGGTCATAAGTCAATAAGTATTTCAATTGCGATCCATGTAAGGTG